GAAATGTAATTACTTTGTGAGTAACATGTTGGTTTTTTTTTCCCCCTGAATACCAATTGGATTAAAGGGGGGGGAGGGAGGAGGAGACACTTGTTTGTTTGTTTGTTTTCTAATGAGTTTAATGATGCTGAAAAGAAAATAAAAAGAAAATCATTAGACCTAGAAAATGGGTCATATCTTTATTTATAGTGGTGGAACTGAAACATTTCGAGTTGGTAGTGTTAGGATAACATAACTTCCCCAAGATGCATGCCGCTGTAGGAGCAGGAAAGCATTTTAAACCAGTAGAGAGGTTTTCACTCCCGCTTTTTAAGAAGCCCCTTCTTGCTTTTCCTCTGCTCTGACACAGGGCTGCAGGACCCGGCTCGATGCGGTGCCTCCGTTCCCCCCTGCACTGGGAATTGCAGTCGGGAGGTGATGCCACTGCACTGGCGGGCTTCGGGCCTTGCCCTGCATACCCGGTGAGTTGCTGAGCCCGGCCGGCCCCGGGGAGGGCTGTGGGGCTGTGCGGGCTCAGGACCCCAGGGAGGAAAAGAGCCGCTGGAGCTAATACCTCAAAGAAGCCGTCGTTGGGAAGAGGAAGGCGGACAAAAGCAATCGCCCGGCTCACAAATGCTGCACTCCAGCGGAGAGTTTTAAGGCGGTTTAAGTCTAAAGAAAAAGTGACAGGGCAATCATCGCTCCGGATGGGAGGGTGAAGCCTTGCTAACAGCTCGTGTATCTGTATATTTAATTGCGACCTGGCTGCATGTTCCTGTTGAGGAAGGATGCAGATCACAAGCGAATCTATAAAAGCCGCAGTTGACAAGCCCGGGAAAGGGATAAGTGACAGATGAAACGGCAGGCAGCGCGGAGTTAACTGGCAAACGCATCGGTACAAAGTCATATACCTTCTGAGAGGAGCAGTAGTTTGTTTTATTCCGGTTCTCCAGAGTTTTATGTACTGTCGGTGTGACGGGGAGAGAGGAGCTAATGTGCCCTGTTTAGGATACAAACACGTAGATTAGATCAGGCTTCAGACGCCGTGTTTCACTTACAACACTTGGAAGATAAACCAGGCTTCCCCCACTCAGGAAAATATGGATTCCTTACCACCACCACCCCCCCCCCCCCCCCCCCCCCCCCCCCCCCCCCGCCCCGCCTTTTTTTTTTTTTTAATGTTGTAAAGATGTTTAAAACTTGTTAAGCACCCCCGTTTGATACTGGACTGTAGCGAGCTGTCGGGAGTGCCCAAGGATGGGAGCCGAGGCCCGAATCTGGCCACTCTGCCCGAGGCTGGGGAGCTGGAAGCCCATCAGCCCGGCTCCCGTCTTCCTCACGTTTCTATTACCTCAAGTTTTCAATGAGGCTGGTGTAATTACGAGGCGTTTAACTTTTTGCCAGGCTCTTTCATTATGGCTTTGCATTTGCACCTCTCTTTTAAGAGAAGTAATAACATTCACAGTCAGGGGCAAATCCTGTTAATGAACAAATTAAAGTTCAAACAGTTATTCAAGTTCACAGCCCCGCTCGCTGCTCCTTTAATAAGAGTTATACATGTTACTTTCTCTCGGGATCACTCCCCCTTTTATTACTTTTTAAGCTTTTCATAAGCACTGGCGGGCTATATGGGCAGCTCCCAGCCTCTAAAGAGCCCACAAATCCTGAAGGGAGCCCTAATCCGGCCTTAATTTGGCAACTTTTGTAAAAGACATAAAAGCCCGGGTGCCACCCTTGTGCGCTCAGATTATGATGTCGCAGGAACAAGCCTGGGGAAGGCCCCTTCTTTCCCGCACCCATCTATTTGTGCCGCCTGCCTCGCCGCCGGAGCTGTGCCAAAACCCCCGGGTACCCCAGGGGGAGAAATTAGGATGTCTGCTGGACAGCGTGCGGATTTACAGCCCTCATCCCGATAGCTCTGTTGAGCCGCGGGGTACTGGGGCTGCCGCTTACCCCCCACCCCCAGCCTGCCCCTCAGCGCTGCCCGTGGGCCAGAGCCCGGTGCTTGCTACCGGTGGCTGCCTGCAAGTGTTAACGACGTGCCCTTAAGAGTAAGTAAGTAAGTAAATATATAAATGATCACCACTGGGGTCTTCCTCTCCCCATCCCGCTTTCTTCTTTCCCTCCAAACCTGTCGCAATCAGATGTCTGAGCTCACCTCCGCATTTGCATATCATGAATCTTAATTCCCCTTCTCAGGGGCTGCCCGAGCCCGGGGGAGCGGCGGCTGCCTGTGGGTCCCACTCCCCCACTCCCATTTCGATGCTGGGCTCCCCGGGCCGGGGGCAATGGGCAGAGTCCAGCAAAGCCCGGGGAGTTTGACACCGGTTCAAGGCAGCGACGATGGAAAAACGCTGTCTATGTACAAATAGAGGAGATCACACTCCCCATTATCTACCTCTTGGCGAGTGTTTGATTTGTGACATCAAAAGCTTATCAAGGGAAGCTCGCAAAAAAAAAAAAAAAAAAGAGAGAGAGAGAAAGAAGAGAGAGAGAAAGAAGGGAGGGAGAAAAAAAAGCATCTCTTCATGGTGCGCCGGTTTGGGTGATGCGGGGGGAAAAGAGAAGGGTGCTGGTGCCGTCCAAACGCTGCCGGAGCAGGGGAGCCGATTTCAGCCCCGGCCGAGCGGCCGGGCCGTGCGCGGGTGCGGAGCTCTGGCGCGGAAGGGAGGGAAGGGCCGGGCTGGCCCCGGCGGAGGGCTGGAGGGAGGCGAGGGTTCCTCGCAGGCATCTGCACAGAAGTGGTTTGATATAATCACCATGACAACTGCCGCCTATGAGCATACAAATAATAGAGATGAAATAGACAAAAGATTAGCATGCCATGAAAAGTACAATAAGTTTCTTATTTAGCATTTAGATAACTGTCTTTCCTTCGGAGCAGGCTTCAAAGTTGAACCCAGTTTAGACCAAGAGGATTAATTCTTTCTCCCGCATGCTTCATTGAATCTCTCATTACCAAACTTTGTCTGTATTGATGTAAGATTTGATTGAAGATTAGAGCATTTAGCAAATCTTGCTTTTCTGCATGTATCAGGCCTTTTCAAGCGCGGGCCGCTCTGCCCAGTGGTCAATACCCTTACTTTTATCCAGTGTCTGCTTCATTTAAACTTAATCAACTCCCTCAATGAACTGGAACAGGGAAACGTCCCTGCGGTAAGAATGTTGTGCTTTTCTTAGATAATTCTTTGCTCCCTATCCCAGTCTGCTGGCGTTAAACCTAAAATTGCTCTCTGATGAACTTAATCAATATGATAATGACAACTGGGGCTCAATGGCTCGGCCTGGGCTCCGCGCGGAAAAGGTAGATGGGCTGTGCCCGTTGCCCCGGAGCAACTTCTCCTTTCTCGCCTCTCCTTTTGTGTGAGCTGCTCCCACCTCTCCCTCTCTCTTTTCCTCCCCCTTTTTCTTCTCCCCTTCTTTCCCTGTGACACCGGCCGCTGCTCACACCGGAGAATGATGCTTCTTTGTGCGGCATGAGGACTCGTATGTCTCCGCCCGGGGAAGCGGCGCGGAGCGGTTGGCCGGGTGAATTATCTGCCTTGTTGCGGTGAATTATTTGCCCTGTTTCCTTTCCCAGTCAACAAGTTTCTGAGGTATAGCACAGATCAATCAAAGCTGACAGAGCGCATGTGAAGCTTTTACTGTGTAAATCTGGACCTCTTGTCCCGGCTTCGTTGGCACTGGCATCTGTATATCATTTTTATACTGCTACCAGTAGAGCAATTTCAAAAGTATTTGCAAGGAAAATGGATGTCCCCATCTGTTCCCGGAATCATAAATGTGCCACTTTCGGAGGGTTTTCACTGGTAATCATATCTTTAATGATGAACAAACTTGTGATATATACCTTTCCATAAAATGGGGTTTTCTTCGCTTTATTGTGATTGGCTGGGATAAATAGCTTTTCCATATGTTAGGGAGATAAAACATAAGATTACCAGAGCTCGTTTGCTTGATCATAAACAAAAGAAACAATTCGCCCCAAACAGTCTTTAAACAGAAGCAACTGCAGAATTAAATTGTATTAATAGGCTGTCCATGGGTCAGGAGGCAAACAACTGTCCCCGTGGAAAAGACAGACGCTTTAAAATACGAATAGACGGCCTTTATCACTGTTCGAATGACCTTAACGCAGACGTGGATTTTAAATACTAGATGCTCTTTTTAACTTCTTCCCCCCCCCCCCCCCCCCGCTTAAGATTGTCTTGTCTTTGCCTCCCTCCTTTTTTTTTTCCCTCTTCTGCTTGACTTCGAATTTCCCTAAGTGCAGAAGCGAGGATGCTGTGCTAGGTAGTGGGTTGCCGTGCGCTATATTTAGAAAGCATCTGGAAGAGAAAATGTCCTCAGGAATCCGGACTGTTTTGTTGTAAACACCCCTCCAGTTCCAGCTCTGTAAACGTAAACGCTCCTTCTCCAGACGTGACAGCGCTTGGCGCTGCCTGGAAGCGCAGGGTAAGGACGGGGCAGGGGAACCCCCTTTACAGCTGCGGCACCTCCCGGGGCAGTCGGCTTTAGAGCTGCCCTAGGGGATGGGGACGGGGTTCCCGGGCACACACACCACACCCCCCCCCCGGCTAGCACTCAGCGGGGAGCCCCAATGGCCTCGGTCGGGCTGATCACGGAGCAGCTCCGGAGTGCGGCCCCCTCGGCCCCCCTGGTGCCCCCGACGGGGGGGGGGAGGGCTACCCGGCTGCACTCGTCATCCC